GTCGCGATTTTGATTGTGGAGGTTTGGGTGCGCTCGGTTGCAGCACGTCACACATTTTCACACAAAATATGACGAATATTATGAATTTATTCGTCGAGCTAATCCCTTGTAACATATTCTATCCATTTTTCAGTAGCAAATTTATACATGTATATAAAGTTAAAAACTATGACGTGTGATTCTAATATCTTGTCGAGACCGCTGAAACTTTATATTATTTTCATACGTTATTTGAGATTGTTGATTAACTAGAATGTTCAATTGTCGGTCTATCTATCGTACGGAAAGTTGCTTTTCTATGGATCTCACGTCATTTATTCTGTATGTGTGTCCGGCGATTCACTTTCAAGATGCGTCTCGCATGAATACATGCATAGTTACACGCATCTTCGTATTTTCGCGGTCGGTCTTCGCGGTTTTTCAGCAAATTTTCAACAAGTTATTAATTGTTAAATTTCATTCATATTGTAAATTTTAATTTATCGCGGAATATCATTAAAATAAATACAACGCGAAGTAAATTGTTTTTTTCTACATACTGTATACTTGAACGTTGAATTTAAAGATCGAGTCACGAAGAGACAGTCATTATCTATTCTCGAATAAATAACGGAAGTAAAAATATATTTGAAGAGTTTTATACGGCAAATTTTTTCACTTAATTTTCTTCTTTAATTAACTTCTCGCGGTCGCGCATTTCGATACGATCGACGCTCGCATATACGTCCGAACCGTACGAAATATCTGTCGGTGATAAACCGACTATGGAAGGAATTTTCTTCCTTCCTGATCTCTGGTCGAAATGACCAGACTGTTATGGCCAGGAGCAACGAAAGGTATGTCCAATCTGGCCCAACGAAGGACTAAATACGATGAGGTAAGTGGTCAATATTGGCCACTCTGATGGAGTACCTAAGTAAGGTGCTGTACGAAGTATACTTTGATTTCTTTTGATTTGTTACAATTCGGGTGGGTTATGCTTCTATATACATACATTCTCGCATATGTGCGAGAGTGAAATTCCTATTAAATCCCGCGGGCGCGTTAAACTCTAAGTCAAACCCCTAAAAAATCGCGTCGCGGTTAATTAAAGATTTGTAGGTTCATTATGTTGAAACACGGGTAGATAGAAATTGGATAAGTAGGTCTATAGATCGGAATACGGGTAGGTAAGGATTCGGATAGTCAGGGATAGGGGGACATAATTCGAGAGTTTAAAATATTGGATAACATAAATTATTTCTTTTATTATAAGTGTATTGTAAAGTAAGTTATAAGAAAAATGAAATAAATAATAAAAATGTAAGAAATCAAATTGTAAAGAAAAGAGGACCGTCGATTAAATGCGGCGGGGGTGGTGGAGGGCCTTTATATAGGTCGATTTGTTTCTATCAAATCAAATTTTAGTTCAGTTAGATTCACATAGTCTTTTAATCGATAGTTTCGTATGCAATTGATCGATAAATTTGCCTTTACAGTTTGATTTTTCGTTTGCACATTAATAAAAAATGTTGTACAATTATAAGCACAGCCACATATGTAACACGTTGTGTGTACTGCGTAACATTTTCTATTAATGTTTTACATTGTAAGAGTTAGGTACGTATTATTTTAAACACATGTAACATGTTTATATGTAATTTTAGGTCATAGTGAAAAATTGTACATATTTATATTGTATATCATATGTTTTTAGTTTCACTGTGGAACTTTATCTCTCTTTCTATATTTTTGTATATATTTCAAAATAAATTGTGAGTAAAATTAATTAAGTTATAAAAATGTAAAAACACAATTTTATCGCAAACAAAAGAGGACCGCCGATAAGAATTTGGCGGGGGTGGTGGAGGGCCTCTACAAGTTGGTCTGTTTTTATCGGATAAAAATTAATTCAAATCTAAAAGAGAGGCATTGTTTCATTTATAACCAGAAAATGCAAAGTTATAATAAAATATATAGAAAACCAAGCTTATCAGGGACAATCTACTACAAATTTTGTTGGCAAAAGAGAACAACGTAGCTTGTCAGCAAATTTTTATGTTTTGCAATTATACATATAATTTATATGTCAGTAACGAAAGAATGTGAATCGCCAGTAGTTGATTAACGATAAAAAGAATTGTTAGATGACTAGGCTGGTAGATGGTTTCTTTATTTAAATCCGACGTTTCGACTATATACGGGTTTGTGGTCCTTCTCAAGGAATTCAACAATCTACAAAAACTGATCTCTGTTGGAAACACCATTTTCCAGTCACAGTGTAATTAACAACGAAAGACGTCGGATTTAAATAAAGAAACCACCTACCAGCCTAGTCATCTAACAATTCTTTTTATCGTTAATCAACTACTGGCGATTCACATTCTTTCGTTGTTAATACTTTTTATTTGCAATATTTTTAGTATGAATAAATTCACCACTCACACGAATAAATTTTTCGAAGCTTCGAAGTAATTCAAAGTTTCGAAGTTCGAATGTCGAAACCTTTGAAGGAAATTACCAGTCCTACTAAATAACACAATTAATCGAAAATAAGTTTTATAAATTATATAATTGGTTTTAATACAATTGCTGCTGATATACTTGATGTACATTAAAAATATTAAACGTGATAATTTGATAGATAATCTTCTAAGCATGTTGTTATATCTTAAAACAGTCGTTATAAGAGCGAACGAGACAGTAATAGGAGCGAGTGAAATGAGAAGAACAGCAAGCGAAGAAGGCTCGAGGATCGGGATTCTCGCTCGCTCCCGTTACGAAAAATTAATAACACTCTCGTGTTACCGACATTTCATGCATGCAGCATGGAACACAACCAAAATTGGGTACTGCATTACCCGTTTGAAAAATCGGCGTAGCACGGACACGCACCAAATGGAGACTTGATCGGCAGTGCTTGAAAATGGGCGTAGCGAAATAGTTCCAAAAATAAAAATGGGCGTAAAGCGCGTAAGGCGATCAGCCGAGCGAAAACGGTATCAAGTAAAACGCCGGCGTGGCCGCTCTCAGGTTTCTCTCTGATATTACAATATGTTTGAGAAAACAAATGTCGACGTAACGAAAAAAGATATTAAATCATATTACCTCGTCGATGATCGAATACCAGCATTTGGTAATAGAGGTCTCAGCAAGAGGCAGTGAACATTTGCGAATAAAAGATTAGTTACATTTTGCCCTAGAATCTTTTACATGTTTAAAAAAAACACTTAGACGGGAAAGATTTGAACACGTCATTGTTTTTTATAATTCATTTTGGCAAATTGGGATATGTTTCTACATAATAATATTTTTAATAAATGAAATAGTAGTACACAGCTCTTTTTCAAATCCATGCGAGTTAAAATGACCCAAAAATTAAAATAGATGAAGTAAATTATTTATTTAAAAAATAGTTTAATTTTCAAAGCATAAAGTTGATAGTCCGTGGGGATGAGGATTACCCTCTCTGTTTAGTTACTAGATTTTTTAAACATATAAAGAAAGAACTACATATTTTAAATTATTTGTAAAACAATGTTCAAAAAAATAGAATATTATTATTTTTACCATAACGCAGGCTTTCTGAAGACCAAAAACCCTTTTCTTCTGTATTTAGCAATTGAAAAGAGGAATAATTAAAGGAATAATTTGAAAATTCGTAATAGCTAGTGCTAGTACACTTGTTATAATAGAATGCTAAAGGAAACTTGGTACAAACTACTTATAAATGCAGAGAATTGTTCCTATTGTTAGTGGATGATTGGAAAGTTTGCACGCATGTTGCAAGATGATCAGTTGTAGACACAATTGTAATTACAAATCTCAGATTAGCAATTAAACATATTTAAACATGTTTTAACGCAACAGGCGATTGGATGCGGTTTTATCCGATGTGACAATTATGTATTCTCGATGGCGAGCGGCCGGTCGTTGTCGCGATGCTTCGGACCGCTTATAGAGTTAGGACTTATAGACTAGTATCGATTACGAACGGAGAGCTACTAATTTAATATCGGGATCGAACGTGTAGTCGCTGCAGTTCCGCGTTGCCTTGCACGTTGTCTCAGTATTATCGCGCGGCGACCGTCGACCGAACGTGTTCTCCCGCGATTTTCGAGAGGAGGAATGTGGGGCCACGTATCGATCTCGATCGCAATTCTGCTGGCGTCGCTGCTCTATCGTTATTACTTTAACGAGCCGGCCAGTGTCATCGTTTATCCCGAGACGCATTACGACTACATTGTTGGTGAGTTTCTCTTCCTGACTTGTTTATCGGCTCGCGTCGTCACCCTCGCCTCGTCGCGATCCCAGCACGCTTCCGCCTCCGTCTCGTGTCCCGAAATACGCAGCATCGATTTTTAATCAAGGAGGATTGGCACAAATCGCATTGTGCTAGATTGATAGATGCCTCCTGGTTGCTCCAGAATAAGCGGGCGGAGGGTATCAATTACGATACCCTCCCTTTTCCTAGAAGAGAAATTCGGGGTATAAAGTTGCCAATTGCGCGCCTTCCAGAATGCTGCTTGTTTTGTATTCTCGACTCAAATTTGCATACCTAAAATTTAACGTAATAAACGTCCGATATTTCGTATTAACGCTAGTTTTTTTTGCGTCACGAAGAGAATAAAGAAAGCGAACCACGCGAGTTTCGCGTACAATAATTTCTAATAAAAATTGTGCCCTTCTTGTTGCCGCTTTTCGTTGGGCTCAAGTCGGCGCTGGTACGTCTGGCTGCGTGATTGCATCACGGCTCTCAGAAATGTCGAACGTGACCGTTTTGCTCGTGGAGGCCGGCGGATACTTCGGATGGCTATCGACTATGCCGCTCTTAGCGCCGATGATGCAAGGCACCGAGGTCGATTGGGCCTACCAAACGGAGCCGCAAGTCTTCTCGTCCCGAGGGCTCCACGGCTATGTAATTAAAGCTCAATCGTTCGGTGAAGGAATTTCCGTTTCGCGAGAACGATTTCTGCGGAAATTTTTCCCCCCACACAGCGTGGCTCTCACAAAGCACGCAAATACGGCACATTTTGCGCGCTGACGAATAATGGTAGCACTCTCTAAAAATCAGTCGGTGACTATTCACCGTTTTCAGTGATAGTCCACCGATTGACTTTTAGAGAGCAGCAATAGTAATCTAAAAGATTGTGTCGCGTCTTACAAGACATTCTTTTTCGTATAGTACGAAACGAATATTTCGGAAATTGGTATTTTCGAATTTGGAACCGCTTATTTTCGGCATGGCGGGATCCCTTCATTGGTCACGTCTGTTTAGAGACAAAACGTGCCGAGAGGGAAAGGACTCGGAGGAAGCGGGCAACTTAATTATCTCGTTCATTCTTTCGGGAGGCCCGAGGACTACAAGAGATGGCCGAAGGGTTGGTCGCACGCAGACTTACTTCCCTACTTTCAAAAAGTGTCCGATATTATGAACGCTATCCCGATGCCGGAGGAGGAGTACCTGACGAAGGCCTTCGTCCTGGCCGAGGAATCGTTGAAGCTGGACAACGTGTCGTTGCGAAAAGCGATGTACACCGCGAAAAGGGGAACCCGATGGAGCACTCATCATGCGTATTTGCGGAAGGCCTGGAATCGCAAGAATTTACATATCCTGACGAATACACTTGTTGCCAAGGTCTCCATAATTTTTATCGTATTTTGCATAACGCCCTGAGAAGCAAAAATCTTTGATAAGCCGTCTTTCTTTTCAACGTGTCACTTTTTCACACCAGAAACTCACTGTACTTAAAGGTTGTTATCAAAAACAACTATTCGTACTCTAGCTACTCCATTTTGTTCATACACTGAGAAAACTGTCCGATTAAATATAATCGGATAATCCTATTACATAATATATAAAAAACGGATATCTCCGATCAAATTGAATATCCGTTGAAAAATATGATCGATTTTTCAATCAGATTTTATCAGTAACTGCATCTCATCGGATAAATTTTATCGGGTGTATCCATAATTTAATCGGAAAACGTAATCGGAAGAATTAACCATCGGAAACACTATTTTATTGGTTTATCCGATGGAAATTGTTCTCGGTGTATGAATATTAGGGTGGTCCTTATTTTTCGATTTTCGAATTTTTCCACGGCACCCTCCAGAATGTTTCCAATCCACAAAAAAATAGTCCCTGCCAAATTTCAGCTTGATCGGACAACGGGAACCCGTGCCCCCGGCACGTTAAACATTTGAGTTCCCTTGTATAAAACAGCACTGAAAGAACCGTATATTAATAA